CTGTCTCTTTCCAAAAATGGCCCCAGCAATATCTCCCCACACACATGTTCTAACACAGTGACTTTCACAATATTCCCATTGAGTCCTGGGGTCTATATACCCTCCCTTTGAAACTGAGTAGGATTTTGGGACTTCCTTACCAAATAGAGTATGGCAAAAGTGATACTATGTGACTTCCAAAGCTAGGACATAGAAATGCCATGCACCTCTGCCTTGATCTCTCGGGACACTCTCTCTGAGGGAAGCTAGCTGCCATGTGAGCGGTCTCACTGCCCTTGAGGCCGCCATAAAGTGAGGAAGCCCAAACTAATCCACACAGAGAGACCATATGGAGAGTCCCTGAGTCTACGTGGAGAGAGAGATGCCTGACGCCCACCCCGAGCTGCTCCAGTCCTGCACCATTTCAGTTCCAGCTGCTATCTGACTGCAACCCTGAGCCAGAACTGCTTAGCCAAGCCCTACCCAATTCCTGACCCACGGAAACCATGCAAGATAGTAAAATAACTGTTGCTGTGTTAAGCTACTAGGGTTTGGGATTTGCTACACAGCCTGCAGGCTTTAGGGCAACCAGAAAATAGAAGGACTTTGGAGAAAGGGAGCCCAGAGTGAAAGGGAGATGCAGAGATGTTGCAGAGAGATAAAGGGCTAAAAGACGGTGAAGGCCCAGAGCAAGAGGGGTGGTGAAGCCATTTCAGAAGGGGCAGAGGGGAGAAGGGCAATGCAGTCAAGCGGGAAACACCTGGGCTGGGAGATGAGTGACCTGTGCTCCCTCTAGCGCTGCTGTCCACTGCCTAAGGCTTTGGGCAAATACCTTCTCCTCCCTGGAGAACACTCCTTGAGCTGATAAATTGTGTGTGAAAGAAGAGCAAACCCTGGAAAGGAGGAGCTAAACAGCAGGAATGTGTCCCCATGCACCAATTCTGAGGCCACCGAGCCCTCTTCTGACTGTGGTTAGTTGTTTTCCTGTAGACTCTGCTGCTGGAAGATGCGCTGACTAGCTAAGACAAATACCTGACCCACTTGGCAGTCATGTTTCTCACAGTAAATTAATACACTGGTGCTCCAGTTTACGCACCCATCTGATCAGCCCATGGGGACACTTGACCTGCACATGTGAGGACCAAGACCCCACACATGGATGATCAAAATAACATGTGACCGTTCTGAGGGACCCTGCCAGAAAATGATCAACTGGCCTCCCAAGTGGATGACTATTCCTCATGGCCACGACTGTGAAAACAATCTCCTCTCAGGCCAAAAATAAAGAGAAGAGGGAAAACCAAGTTGTTCTTCTGACATAAGGGAAGCCTCGGAAGAACTTGAAAACAGTGGAAGCAAGAAGAGGCCAGCCATCTGATAGGACAGCTCAGGACCCCAGTGACAGAGAAGTCTGGTAAGAGAAAACCTTGCCTGACTTTCACACTGCTCTTCAAACTGCTTTCCTGCGCCACCCCCCCCCCCCCCCCGCCCCGTTACTCTGCCATTTAAACATACCACGTCTTGGTCTGTATGTGCTGAAAAGGAAAACATAATAAATGGAGTGGATTTAAAAAAAAAAAGAACAGAGTTGAACAGACTTGTCTTCTAGTGTTCTTAATCCAAATATTAAGTAAAGACAATTCAAAGTCCAAACATAATTGTGGTGATAGCACGGTTCTTTGTTTTTAATGTTTCATCAAATGTGAATTAATGAGGTGATAACAAGTCTAATATTATTAAGAAATAATATAATTTTGAACAATTGGTAAAATGAAGATTGCAAAATTTTATGTATTTTTTAAAGTCGCCCCTTTATATTATATTTCTGGGTCACTCTCCTTATATTATAAAACCCCCAAGGGGGGCTGGCCCCGTGGCCGAGTGATTAAGTTCGCGCGCTCTGCTGCAGGCGGCCCAGTGTTTCATTGGTTCGAATCCTGGGCATGGACATGGCACTGCTCATCAAACCACGCTGAGGCAGCGTCCCACATGCCACAACTACATGGACCCACAAGGAAGAATATAGAACTATGTACCGGGGGGCTTTGGGGAGAAAAAGGAAAAAAATAAAATCTTTAAAAAAAAAAAACCCCAAGGAAGAAACAGAAATGGTGCAAGTGCATTACGGAATATCTTCTCACCACATCCTTGTCCTTGCCTCCACCTCCTCCTCTTCATCCATTTGGGCATTTTTATTTGTGTTAGGTGTGGAGCAAGGCCCTGGGAGCACCAAGAAGCGTTGGCCATTCATGTCTTTTTTTTTTATTGAGTTCATAATAGTTTCCATCAATGTGAGATTTCAGCTGTACATTATTTCTTGACCGTCACCACATAAGTGCTCCCCTTCATCCCCTGTGCCCAACCCCCACTGGTAATCACTGAACTGTTTTCTTTGTCCATATGCTTGTTTATATTCCACATATGAGTGAAATCATCTGGTGTTTGTCTTTCTCAGTCTGGCTTATTTTGCTTAGTATAATTCCCTCCAGGTCCATCCATGTTATTGCAAATGGGATGAATTTGTCTTTTTTTCTGGTTGAGTAGTATTCCATTGTATATATATACCACATCTTCTATGGTCATCAGACGATAGGCACTTGGGTTGCTTCCATGTCTTGGCTATTGTGAATAGTGCTGCAATGAACATAGGGGTACATATGTTACTTTGGATGGTTGATTTCAAGTTGTTTGGGTAGATACCCAGTAGGATAGCTGGGTCATACGGTAGTTCTATTTTTAGTTTTTTGAGGAATCTCCATACTGTTTTCCATAGTGGCTGCACCAGTTTGCACTCCCACCAGCAGTGTATGAGGGTTCCCTTCTCTCCACACCCTCTCCAACATTTGTTATTTTTAGTCTTAGTGATTACAGCCATTTTAACAGGTGTAAGGTGCTATCTTAGTGTAGTTTTGATTTGCATTTCCCTGATGATTAGTGATGTTGAACATCTTTTCATGTGTTTATTGGCCATCTGTATATCTTCTTTGGAAAAATGTCTGTTCATCTCCTCTGCCCACTTTTTGATGGGATTGTTTGTTTTCTTATTGTTCAGTTGTGTGAGTTCTTTATATATTATGGAGATTAACCCCTTGTCAGATATATGATTTGCAAATATTTTCTCCCAGTTGGTGGGTTGTCTCTTTGTTTTGATCCCAGTTTCTTTTGCGTTGCAGAAGCTCTTTAGTCTGATGAATTCCCACTTGTTTATTTTTTCTTTTGTTTCCCTCGTCTGAGAGGACATGATATTTGAAAAGATCCTTTTTAGTTCAAAGAGTGTACTACCAATATTATCTTCCAGGAGTTTTATAGTTTCAGGACATATCTTCAAGTCTTTGATCCATTTTGAGTTTATTTTTCTGTATGGTGTCAGATAGTGGTCTACCTTCATTCTTTTGCATGAGGCTGTCCAGTTTTCCCAGCACTATTTATTTATTTATTTTGAGGAAGATTAGCCCTGAGCTAACATCTGCCACCAATTCTCCTCTTTTTGCTGAGGAAGACTGGCCCTGAGCTAACATCCGTGGCCATCTTCCTCTACTTTATATGTGAGACACATACACAGCATGGCTTGACAAGCAGTGCCATGTCCACACCCGGGATCTGAACCGGGGAACCCCAGGCCACCGAAGTGGAACGTGCAAACTTAACTGCTGCTCCACCAGGCTGGCACCGCAACACCATTTATTGAAGAGACTATCTTTTCTCCATTGTATGTTCTTGGCACCTTTGTTGAAGATTAGCTGTCCATAGATGTGTGGTTTTACTTCTGGGCTTTCAGTTCTGTCCCACTGATCTGTGTGCCTGTTTTTGTACCAGTACCATGTCGTTTTCGTCTCTATCATTGGCCATTCGTATATTTGATGAAAGTACCATGCAGTTAGAGAGGCAAGACATTTACATAGATACATCACCTCTATCACTATGCATCCATCCAAAAACATATTAAGGCTTAACTATTCTGATTGTAAGAAGAAACCAGAAATAAAGTGCTGTCTTCATAGTGCAATACTGCTTAAAAGATGGTATGGAAATTGCCCATGGCAACCATAAAAACAAAATAAGCAACCACAGTTGTGCTCCTGTGCAGCTCCACCAGTGCCAGAAAAGAGAGGCAGACAGTGGGAGCTTCATCCATGGAACTAGGTGGGGACTGTGGAGCAAGGTGCAGGCCTGGCAGGTGGGTTCTCTCAGGCCTGGCACACTGAAAGTGTCTTTACCTGTGGCTGTGATGATTAAAGCCAGGCGGCAAACGTCATGGTCAAGGGAGAGCAAAGGTCAAGCCTGAGGTGCATTTCCAAGCCAGTTGTCAATGTTGGGGCCACTGAAGTAGTATTAGGGCTGAAGTGTGCAGTCAAAAAAGGTCAGAGGAGCAGGATGGATGCATTTGTAACTGACAGTCGGCCCTAGGACCAGCAGCTACACATGGCAGGACAAGAGGTAAGTGATGGTGAGGATTCAGGGGATTGGGGAGAGTAAGGAGGATCAAGGGGATGTTAATTCTCACAGTGGGGCTTTTATTTATTCCCCATGCGTGTGTATGGAGAATAGCTTATGTCTAAAGATGAGTCAGGTTCATCTACAGTAAACCAATAGAAGGACAGAAATTAGAATTGAATCCTCTTCTGAGACATAAACATGCTATCATTTTTTATTATTTATTATTTGCTTATTTATTTTGTGAAGAGGACTGGCCCTGAGCTAACATCTGTTGCCAATCTTCTTCTTTTTGCTTGAGGAAGATTGTCAGTGAGCTAACATCTGTGCCAGTCTTTCTCTATTATATGTGGGACGCTGCCACAGCGTGGCTTGATGAGCAGTGTGTAGGTCCGCTGTGAACCCCAGGCCTCCAAAGCGGAGCATGTGTACTTAACCACTATGCCACAAGGCTGGCTCCGTATCATGTTTACATTAAAAGATTTCACTTGGATCCAGGTTTCTGTAGTTCCACTGAAGGTGATAATATGTGTGATGATTCTCATTCTTACTTTCCCATGAAAGACAGAAAGAACAAGACCACCTCCACAGATCCAACCAGGCATATTTTCAAGATTCCAAGCTACCAGGCAGAGTTGTCATCAGAACAGGGGCATTTTTGCTTTCTCTCAGGCCAGGAAATGTGTAAAATGATCCGGTCATTCACAGGTCCTTGTAGAAACTCGCTGGCTACTCTCAGGGGGTGATCCAACCCTGTCTGTAGGGACACAGTCATGGCACCCACAATAGTTGAAACTCTTGCCTGGTAAACCTTCTCATGAAAGAAGATGAAGGAGGAAGGCCATTTTATGATATGGTGAGGTGTCCCTCCACTGATGGTATTCAAGTAGAGGCTGGATGCAAAAGTCAAAGGCTCTGTGGAAGACATTTCCTGCTCCGGATCCGATGGTTCCTTCCAGCTCTGAGATTCTCTAAAATACTTGTAAACTATTGTTGACAAATGGTTTGCAGAGAAGTATTGTGTCATGGGACAAGCTATATTTAGAGCCAAATATGATAAAGGAGCCCATCAAAAGAGCTTGAAAGCTGACAGTCCTTTTGGAGCCAAAGAACAAAGAAAACTTCCTGGCAAATATTCTGCCATAAATATTCAATCCTATAATATCCATGTCTGTTGTGGGTATGGTCAAGAGATTTGAGCCCTGGACTTGAATCCATAGGGGACAGAGAAGAGCACGGTCCCTAGAGGAGAGACAACTGGAAAAGAGCTATCTCCTGTCATTGATGTGGTGTAGGAAGGTAGATGACTCCACTTTGCTCTGAAAGGAAAAGAGTTTTTAGTCAGATACGTGCATTTTTCCTTATAGCTCAAAAATAAATTATGCAATGTTCAGCAAAATCTGAGAAGCCAGCGTTGACATTTTTAGCCTGCTTTGCCAAGATCCTCTTGCTTGATAAATTTTAACTCAAAATCACAAACTCCATAAGATAAAAAGCAGGAACTCACAGTGTATTGCATTCCTGGGAGAGGTGTGTCATTGTAAAAAAAGAAATTTTTTTTCCTTCAGCAGCTATCATTTATTGGATTGGGATTAGTGCTGTACTTTTTTAATAAAGGAAACACTAATGACCTATTAACTCTCTGAGTTGATTTTCTAATAAAGGAGTTGATTTTACTTTGATCTATAACATGCTGTGTACGGTATCACCTGAATTGGGGTTGAAGTCTACGGCTATGAAGCAAAGCCAAACTCCCGATCCACACTGGGTTCAACTCATAATCCAGGTTATGCTGTGATCGACTTGAGCACCTAGTGAAGCCAGACCTTACAAGACTAGACTGTACACTCTCAAACAGCAGAGGTCATGTCTGCCTTTTGCATCGCTATATCCCAGCGTCCAGTACGGTGCCTGGAACATAGTAGGTACTTAACACACATTTAGTGAACGAATGAATTTTTTCCCCCAAGGTATCAAAAGCCTATATCTCTCCCATTTCTCCTTCCCTTTTCCTCATCCCGAGTTCCATTTTCCAAAGGTATCTACTCTCCAACATTTTATGTGTTGAAAGATGAATTTAGAAGGAAAAGGACTTTCATCATTGGGGCAGAAAAATGTTGTCAAAATGGGGAAACTTAAAAAAGTCTTGCAACAAAGGACAAAATGTCCTTAAAAGTCAATAGTAATAAATAATAAGGATATAGTTTAGAAAAAGACAAATCAAGATCACTATATCTTCTCTGACCCAACTTCTAGGGGGATAGTTCACCTGGACAGGAGTTGTACCACTTTGTTGATGTCCAGCATCACCTATGAAACAGACCACTCTCCTTGCAAGCATTATCTGTGGTGTGTGTTGGCTGTAGGGTGGGAGAGGTGTTCCAGGTCCTTCTGTGATCGCAAAGCAAAGCCCAACCCATTTCTCAATGGGCTCAGAGTGGCAGGTGCAGAAAGTAGAACTGGAGCTGTGGAGAGACAATCAGTAGTCCCCCAGGATCCTTCCACATGCCTCTCACCTCGGGGTCTTCTTCTCCAGACAAGGATGCCAACTCCAGTCAGGGCAATGGCGAGGACAATGGACCCAGCAACAGCTTTCATCACCAGAGGGATAGTTTCTGATTCTGAAAGCAAGAAAATGAGGAAAACTCCACAAGTCTTCCTCCCCGTCTATCTTAACTTTGGAAGACTTTTTTCCCTGTGATGACTGGGAAGCTCAACACTATTTTTCTTACTGTCCCTTCTCACTTCATAGCTCCGTGGGGACCAATAATCTAAAACAGAGGAACAGCAGTGCTCAAAATGTGTCTGATGCCCCAGGGGTCCTAAAAGCCCTTTCAGGGAGTCCACGAAGTCTAAGTCATGATTTCCCACTTTTTATCTCAATCTCCCACACGTGTACAGTGGAGTTTTCTAGAGGCTACATGACATGTGATAGCATCATCGCTCTGATGGCTAATGGAATATGTGTTTTTGTTTTCTTGTGTTAATATTTTTTTAATTTTTAATTTGTAATACAGTAAATAAAATAGATATAACCCACATAAACAAAAGCTCTTTGGGGCCCTCAATAATTTTTAAAGTATAAAGGAGCCCTGAGAACAAAAAGTGAGAGACTCTCTGATTTAAAAGAACCATTCTAAGGCAAGCAGTGATCCATGCTTCCTGCTTGCCCTCTTTCCTCAGTCTCACCACCCCTCCCCCCTACCGAGAGTCACAACCCTGTCCTTACCCTGGGGGACCTGAAGAACCGTGTGGAGGCCACAGTGCTCTATATGACAGGAGTAAAGTTCGCTGCTCTGAGCATCCAGCTCAACTGATACCCACGTCTGATAGGTCCCATCCCCACTGGGAAGAATGTCTCCATAATCCACTTGTTGGACAATTTCTTCCCCGTTTTTCATCCAGATCATGGAAATTTCTGGGGGGTAAAAGCCATGAGCTCTGCAGAAAAGAGTTGTCATCCCTGGAAAAGTTTCTCTGCGATTTACTCTGACCAGTGGAGGCTCTACGAAGAAGAAGCTAAAGTTAAATGGAAGTATCTTTTGTGCACTGAGCATACAATACTACAGCTTGGCAACTGGGTTTCCCAATTAATTTTTTTCATTGCAGGAAACATCTAAAACCAAGAATGTCCCAGAACCCAGCTTTATACCAACAAACTGCTTTATCGTGTACTTCCTACTAGGGCAGTGTGCCTGGGAACGACGAATGTGGAGCTGAGCCATGCTCTGTCCTCCAAGGGGAGAAAAAGAAAAGGAAAACTGAGCTACAAAATGCATAAGCGACTGTTTGCGATAAGGAATTAAGCAAAAGATTGGAGATTAGAACTCAGCACTCCTTTTTCTTAATTCTGTGTGAGTACAAATAGATATCACAGCCATCTCGGCTCAGCCTTGGCTCTGACTGCCTTGTGTACTTGGGCTGGCTCTTTGGAGATTGCTATGTTCTGAATGTTTGCGTCCCCCCCGCCAAATTCATGTTGAAATCCTAACTCTCAAATGTGATGGTGTTAGTAGGTGGTATCTTTGGGAGGTACATAAGTCCTGAGGGTGGAACCCTCATAAATGGGATTAGTGCCTCATAAAAGAGGCTCCAGAGAGATCCCTAGCCCCCATCCACCATGTGAGGACACAGCAAGAAGTTGGCAGTCTGCAACCCAGAACAAGCCCATCTGACCATGCTGGTGCCCTGATCTCATACCTCCAGCCTCCAGAACTGTGAGAAATAAATTTCTGTTGTTTGTAAGTTACCCAGTCTGTGAGATGTTGTTATAGCAGCCTGAATGGACGAAGACAGTGATTGTCATCAGGCATAGACACATGTAATATAAATTATGTCATGGTTATACCCTCTAAGGGGCTATAGAAATTCCTATCAGGGAGTGGCTCCAGCAGTGACATCAACAAATTATCCATCTGTGGCCTTGCTTCCTCTTGACTATTCTGCTAATTTTCCATATGGTGCTGTCCTCAACGTTTCCTGCTGACACTGGGTCACATCCTGGCATGAGCCACACAGAGCCTGGTGGCACACCTGGAGGGACTGCTTCCTTTCATCTCTAAGACTCAGCTCCTCACTCCTCCTTGCTCTCCGCCACCCTGATCCAGAGAAGAGCCTTCATCTCAATGACACCTTCCTTGTCTGTTTCCTGAGGTATGAAATTTAGTAGGAGAAAAAGGCTTTCCAACATTAGAAGAAAATACAAACGCCACCAGGAGAGACACTGCCTGTAAGAAACCGATCCCAGATCCTTTTCTAAGAGCAGGTTTTGACCAAAGGGTTGAGACCCCATGAGGACACTCATCGTAGAAAGAGAGGAGGCAGATAGACTGAAATCAGACTTCCTACACTCTTCCCACACAACCCAGGTGCCCAGGCTCCCCGCTGTTTTCCCAAAGAGCTCCTCACCCCAGAGAAAATCAAGAGGATTAGTATTAACCCTCAAATCCCAAATCAGAGCAACTTTGTCCTAATTTCCCTACCTTCTCCCCAGGGCTGAGGAGCAGTAGGCTGAGAGCAGTAGGCCAGGGGTTCTCTTTGTTTGCAGTCAAAGGCTATGCCCCTCATTGAGATCAGCAAGTGGAGACTCATATGGCCCCTCTTCAGATCTGCCCAGCCTTGGCCTAGAACATCTTAGTGATTAAGGGTCCCATACAACCCCAAGTTGGCCATAGATTTCAACCAGATACTAAGCTTCCAAGCCTTCTTCAGTCTGGCTACAATAATAACATTTAATGTGTGAACAGAGACCTATAGTATACAAAGTGCTTTCATATACATCATTTCACATCAATTTCTGTAAGTTACCCAGTCTGTAGGATGTTGTTATAGCAGCCTGAATGGATGAAGACGGTGATTGTCATCAGGCATAAATATATGTAATATAAATTATGTCATGCTTATCACACCTATTTATTTTATTCAAGATTATTGCTTTCTTGGCCTAGCATCAATTAGTCCACTTTTTCTGATAACAAGAACCTATTCTCCTGACAGACACAAGACATACATTGGAAAATTTGTCCATCCCGCTCCAACACGTGCTTCTGTTAAGAGGTACCGATCTTAATCCTGCCACCCAAACCTAACCCAAACTGTGTGCACTGGTTATTCTCTCTTTACTAGCCCTCAGATCTAGTCTCTGACCTTCTGTACTCTGCTTTGTGCCCCAGGAGCCTGTGCTCATCAGACTCCACCTTTAGGGCTCTCTTGTCCCCAGCTTCCAGCTGGGTTTGGCCGCTGGGAAGAGCATCCTCAGCAAAAGATCAAAGAACTGGAGGGCTTGGGGTCTTGTCTCCCAGTTCCCCAGCCACTGCTGTCTGCCAGTGACCAAGTTCCTCCACAACCCCAGCTCTTGCTAGAGGCTCCTCCAGGCTACTCCCCTTGCCAGGCTCTGGTATTGACGGTCCCTCTCCTTGCCCTTCAGATCTAGGGTATGTAATGGCTTCGCTCTGTTACGAGTCTCTAGGTACCTCACCAGACCTTACTGGTTTCCTCAATCCTAATTATACTTCTGTAGATAATCCTGTTATTATTGAATTCTCCTCAGTTAAACCATTTTGGGCAGGTCATTTAGTTCTTGCTGGAACTCTGTTACCCATGGCCAACCTTAGAAACCCATCCTGATGGTCACAATGATTAGTCCGAGAGATGGCCCTCCATCCAACTCAGGCCAACCAGGATCCTCCTGTGGTAAAATTTTTTGTAACTAGAGCTGGGAGAGAGAGGCCCCTGCTGCCGGGATGGTGAAGCTTCAAGGATATGAGCTTTATGCTGGCTGCCGCATCCTCACCTTGGAAAAAGCCAATTAAATCTTGATTTTAATTCCCCAGGTCCCCACACTGCCCAGATTTCTGCCTTTCAAATAGTTTCCATCTTTGTGCTTAAGCCAGTTTGAGCAGGTTTCTGTTACCTGCAACCATTATAATTAAGATGGTTGCTCAGCTAGCAAGTGGGAACACCGAAGCTCAAAATCTAGTCATCTGCCTCCAGGGCCAGCACTCTTGGACAGACAGTCCATGTTCACAACTGTGGCCCAGATGCCTCCCCAGCGGCCCTCTACAGCTCTGGAAAGTCCACCACTAAAGATCACCCCTGTCGGAAAAGTTACACTGTTTCTAGGAGTTTCCCATCACATGATACAGACATAATTCGCTCTGAATAAGATTATAAGTGAAAAGTCCTGTATTAAGTAAAAGTTGACCAATTCGGCCATGTCTTTAATGTATAAGAGGAGCTTTTTACTGAAAGGAATCTTATCATAAATCCTTTAGGAAAACAAAGACCCTCCATTTGTCTTCTTTGTAAGCCCAGTTTGTCACTCGTACTGGTGTTGGGTAAGCCCTTAGGGACTAAACAACTTATTAGAATTGCTCCACTTCCCAACTTATCACCGACAAAGATGGAAGGGCTTGTCTCACTGGGTCCCCCAAAAAGCAGGCATCCCTGGAGGTACTCGACTCTGGCAAGAAAAGTGAAATTGCTGACTCTTGTCAAGATGCTGATAAAAAGTAATAGGGAAAGTTTTCACAGGGAGTTATAGATCACGATAGTCAAACTAACAAGACGGATTTCAGAATATGGTGAATATAACCTAGATTAGAGGAAATTATGTATAAAACCAAGGGTCCTGAGGATGTGGGGACAAGGTGTTGTCCGTTCTCTTTACCTGTCCTTTGTAGGGTATCTTTCCCATACTCCAGGAATCTCTTTAACCAGGCAATACATTCTTCTTCCAGCCAATTCTTTTCGTATTGTAACTTATGCCGATTGGCCTCCCATGCCTTCTTGGTGATGTAAGCTATGTTATCTAGAGCCGTCCAGGAGAGGGTGTCTTTGTCGAAGATAATGAAATCCTGTCCATCATACGCATATTGGAGAAATCCTGTGGTGCTTCCATCCTCCAGCAACTCGCAGCCGATCATTCTCTGGTAAGTGTGAAACCCTGAAACACACATGCAGGCCAGAAAGGGGTTTACACAGGGATGTGGAGGTGAGCACCCAGGTGATGTGACTGAGAGCATGGCTGGAAGCATCCTCTATCCCGGAATACATCACCCCACAGGCCAGCCATGGCATCACTGAGTCTCCAGGAGGTTCCTGTGACATAAGCCCATCTATCAACAGATATTTGTGGAATACCTACTGCATGCCAAAAGAACATGATAATTCCTGCCTTGGGGAGTTATCCTACAATGGGAATGATTAATTGATAAACTTTATAGTGTGGTGGAGGAGGGAGAAATATGCAGGAGCCAGAAATATCCCTGGGAAACTTAATGCAGTAAGTCATTACGCATAAGCAAGCAACTCACTAGGCCGGGCCACCAGGAAATGAGACAAAGAACGGCCAAATTGAGAATGGGAAAGGAGAAGATACAGGTCAGGAGCCTGAATAGGATAGGGTAGGGACATGGAGAGCAAAGGACAAAGGGCTCCTAGAGAGGAGACAGACAATTTGGAAAATGCATAGGGCAGTGGGCAGGCACTGAACCCCAACAACCAGATTTCCAGCCTTTTCCAGAAACCAGAGAGACTGCAACTCAGCAATGTTCACATTCACTGTCAGCCCAGGGACCTCTCTGTCGGGGTGGGGCCTAGCGAGGGAAAGCATTCATCGCTGCTGCATTCACCACCTGAGTGATTGTAGAGGCTCTCCAGGTGCTGCAATTCCTTCTTGAATGTCTGCTGCCAGCCCCTCAGCAGCTGAGTGTACCTCTCCCAGTGATCCGGCGCGAGGTTCTCTGCCATCCAGGGGGCCCGTGGCTCCTTCCGCCGAGAGACACTGTCATATGTGGTGATAGGATGAGAGTCCACATACCCAACTGAAATAAACTCAGGGATCCCATGGCCAGGATCTGAAACGCCCAGGCGAAAATATCTCAGCGAGTGACTCCCTGGGAGGGAAGCAAAGAAGGAAGGTATTTAGAGTCACAGATGATCCAGATCCATAAGCTGCATTCCATTTAATCCCCATGTCAGTGCTCCACATTCAGCTGCACCCACTCCTCCTGGGGGCCAGCTGCTACTTCCTCTTACCGAATCACACAACCCCAGGAACTGGGACCAGGAAAGGATTTTAGAGCTCTAGCCCAAGACTTGGAGCCTTTTTGATTCAGGTTTGGAAACGCTAGAACGAAATTTTACAGGTCATCTCAATTTGTAAGCGAAGTAGAGAGTGCTGCTGTGGTCTGTGGGAGAGGGGCCCAGGACTACCCATTGGTTCCCCAGAGGGAGCTGTCCCTAAGGGACTCTGAGGGTTTGAAAACCCTGATACCTCAACCCCTTGTGTTACAGAAGAAGCTTCTGGGTGGATAAATGAGGGCCCCCACTCCACCACTGCGTGTGCCCACATGAGTGTACACACACACACACACACACACTCCAGGTCAGTCAGTGTGAGAATTCACATAAGGACTCAGGCTTCCTGAGAAAAATCTCTTTAAAAGCACAGTGCTTTTCCTGTTATACCAAACCATCTCTGTCAACTATTTTCTTATTCTTTCTCTACTTTTTCTTCTGGCCGAATATCATGATAAGAATTGTAATAATCTCTAAAAGTCAAAGTAGGCTAAAATAAACCAAAAGCATTTGGCCCCCTCTGCCACTTCCACACTGAGCTTCTCTCAGCTCGTCCAAGAAGCTCACGGTCTGGTGGAGACAGACAAGACAGTTTCAAAACAGTGTGATAGGTATTGTGACGGTGTCTGTGTGGGGCGTGGGCCCTCCAGGAAGACTTTCCAGAGGAGATATGTCTTAGGGGAGATCTCAAGGACAGGTAGAAGGTGAGCAGGCAAAGGGCTGGGAGGGGAGACAAAGGGAGGGTGGTGGGAGCAGGGCAGAAGCCTTGTGTGTAGGTAGGAGGTATGAGAATGTGGCAGACTGTGGGAACTGATGGCCTAAGATGGCTGGAGTAAGTGTCACAGAGACTGGGAGAGATGACACCTGAGAAGTAGGCAGAGCCCAGGCTGGGAAGGCACAGGGCATCCATGCCGTGCCAAAGAGCTGCAGACAGAAGGCACACAGCAACGCTGGCTTTCGTCCCTACTCTGCTCCCTGTTCCCTGGAAACGCCCATCTCAGAGCCTTTTGTCTTGTAACCTTCTGCCCTTTTGACTCACCTAAATCCTTCTCAGTCATCAAAACCCATCTCCAAAGACACTCCCAGGACCAGCTCTGACATTTGCGTGGGTGAGGACAAAGGAGGTGCACACATCAGAGATCCAAATATTTAAAAGGAATAAATCAAGCTAACAAACTGTTAAATAGTTCTATCCTCCTACTTTGACAAATATCCCTTCGTATGACTTCAAAGGCCAAGTTCAAATTTAAAAATATCAGACTTTGTGAAATTCTGAGCCTGAGTGAGGTAGCACAGAGAAAGCTAGCCTCCATCCTCCAACCCCTGGCCCTTGACCTGAGACTCACCTCCTTCACTGCCCTCCGCTGGCTCCACCCAGCCCTGCCAAAGGCCTCGTTGCCCACATGTAGACACTGCTGCTGTCTCATTCAAGCTGCATCCACACACACTGCCTCCTGGCCGCTCCTCAGGCCTAGCAGCATAGTCCATCCTTAGGAGAATGGACCAAAGGAAGAGGCCTGTGTAAACCCAGCAGCCCTGAGTCATCTGGGCAGCGAACTCCAGACACAGGGTAAGCACATGGACTCCTCACTCTGTGGGGAAGGATGTGGTAGAGGAGGGCCAGAGTGGAGCCCTCTAAAGTTGTGGGGCCACATCCACTGCCAGGGACTTCTCTTGCCTGTCTAAGGGATATACTAGACACCACTTCCCCAAAGTCCTTCCAGATTGCCCGACTCAATGCTGTTGTCCCCTTTCTGAATTCCCTGGGCACTCAGATCTTCACACATGGCCCTTGTCACTGTGCAGAACCATGGATGGGTATCAGGCTCCCATTCCCTAGGCCGAATGCCACTTAAGGATGTTCACTCTGCGCTCTTCATTTATAAATATATATTTAAGAAAAAAAACATCAAATTTTAAAACATCAGCTCACAACTGGTTGGGTCAGCTTTTGTGCATGCAAGTCTGTCAATAATTGTTTTTTCTCGGAAACTGCTTCTGAAAGAATTTATAACATGGAGAGCATCTTTTAGAACTGACCACCCCAAGGCCAGGATACCCATACCTTAACTACGAGGGGAGACAGGATTCCCTGAGACTGACCAGGCTGCCAGGCCCCTGCTGGCTAATCGTACCAGCTGTGAACACAGTGCAAGGTCCAGCTCCCCTTTCTCCCTGCCCTCCAGCTGGGGTGGAGGCTGCTTGGCAGGGTTCAAAGCAGGCACCCAGCCCCTGGGCCCCCTCCCTGGAGGCTGGGTCCTGCACGTGCGCTGCCATGCTGAGCAAGATGGAGGCTGGTCTCCCCCAGGCTTGGGCAGAGCATAAGGCCCCAAGGCCCCTCAGCACTGCTTTGACCTTTCACCTCTGCCTTTCCCTTCCTGTGGGGGGTGGGGAGGCAATTCAGTGGAAGCCTCTGAGGTTGGATGTAAGATCATCATGGGTTTTTAAAAATTTATTACTTTATGGTTTATTAGAAAGTATTATCCCATATATTGGTTTGTTTGGCCCTTGGATCAACCCGCAAATGATTATTATCCCCATTTTACAGGTGAGAAGTCAGAGGTTCGGAGGTTTTGTAATTTGCCCAAGGTCAAAGTGTTGATTCTTAGGAAAACAAGAGCCAGGGGTTGAGGCAGAAGCACAAGCTCTATCCGCAAACCAGCAGTTACCATTCTCTGCCTTCTACTCTCCTTTCTTTGCTCACTTTCTACCCACTTCTCCATGCTAGGGCACTTAAGAACTGGGACTTAGCTTTTTTCCTTTGTATTTCCTGCAAGGCCTAGCACTTGGAGCTTGGAACATGGTAAGAACTTTGTAAATATTTGTGAATTAAATTGTCGGCTAAGCATTTTATTTCTCTGCTTTGAAATAATGAAACATGCCAACATGAATATGAATCTATTCAACCTGGAACTTACACTTAAAAAAAATACTTTTCAGGGGCTGGCTCCAAGGCCTAGTGGTTAAGTTTGGCGTGTTCTGCTTTGGTGGCCTGGGTTCAGTTCCCTGGGAGCAGACCTACACCACTCATCAGTGGCCGTGCTGTGGCAGCAACCCACATACAAAATAGAGGAAGACTGGTAGCAGATGTTAGCTCAGGACCAATCTTCCTCAGCAAAAAAAAAAAAACACAAATACTTTTCATAAAGGGCAGGCTGGTAAAGGAGAGCAGAACTGAAATCTAATTTATATCCAGTCCAGAGTCTGCAAAAGGTGTACATGCTTGAATCTGCAACCGATTCTGAAACAATTCTATTTCTCCACATCTGGAAAGGTTTTGCAGCTACTCTGAAGATATACAGCTGTTTAAAGATGCGAGCAAAAGGAAGAACAAGTCATGAGCATCAGCTCTCACACTTTCTTAGTATCCATTTGTGTATTCAACAAACATGTGAGCGTCTCCTCTGTGCCAGACACTGTTCTGGGACCTGAGCACACAACAGATAAAACAGATAAAAATGTCTGTCTTCATGGAACCTATACCCTAATGGGAGGAGGGGAGGAAGAGAGACAATGCAAAATAAATGAAATATGTAACATGTCTTTTAAAAAGTGCAATGGAGAAAAAGCTGCAAAGAAGACTAAGCAATACAATTTTAAACAGCAATGGTTAGGAAGGCCTCCTGGAGAAGGTGACAAGGACGTGCAGGGAGTGAGGGAGCCAGGCAGATATATGGGGACAGCACTCCAGGCAGGGGATGGCACAAAGGCCCTGAGGAAAGGACATGCCTGGCATGTTCCAGGAGCAGCAAGAAGGCCTGTGGCTGGAGCTGAGGGGGTAAGGGGAAAAAAAAAATAGGTAGGAATCGCTTCCACAGTTATTCATAGGAAAAAACCTCACAAATCAAACTCTAGGCAAAGAAGGGGAGAGGAGAAGGAAGAAGGAATGAAAAAAGAGACTGTTACTGAGCTAAGTTGGATTGGTACAGAACTTCCCTTGGAATCCAGGGTTCCTTTTATGATCTCTGGGGTCTGCATTCCTAGTAGATGCCAACAAGCAAAAAAAAAAAGCATTAATGACTTGGGACATTAAAGCTCAATGGGAAGATTTCTTCTAAGTGAGTATCATTGACATCATCTCCACACATACCATTTACAAGTCACGTAATTTTGCTTTCTTATGAAAACCTAACTTCGTAAAAGTCCATGTCATCCAGAGTTTATAAGAGGTAAATACAGAGAAATAGGGTCTGTTGATAATACTAAGTACACTGTAATGTCCTTTTCTCCAACCTCAATCTCAGTCTAATTCCTGGTTTTGGAGCAGAGTTCTCCACCAGCCAGCCCTGACTTCAAAGGCTGCTCTGCCCCTAAAGGCTGGCCTCCATCTGCCGGTCGTCTGCCTGTCCATCCCTCATGCAGCTGCAGTATGGCTCGGCTCCACGACATCACAGCCCTCTCCCCTTCGTTTGCCAAGGGCTCATTACCCATCTGGTGCATCCACAAGTACAGTCACGCTTGCTTCCTAGTTGGGCTTCCAAAAGGCTATGTCGGTGTGATGGGAAATTAGTTGACAGGTATTAAGTCAGAACAGAAAAGATAGGGCAAAGTCCATGGTACTCTTTCTCTCATGGTACATTAGACCTTGTAACAATTTATCTCCTATGGATGTGTTGCCCAGATGATCAGATTTCTAGTATAACTATGAAGGTTGATCATTTGAAAAGACCTATATTTGACCATTTTTGATCTACAAAAATGGCAATTTCATGCCATTCAATCTAATCTTCTGACTCTTCTTGCTCCAATAATTATGAAATTGGGTTTCTCTCTCCCTTTCAAGAAACAGATCATCAGCATCAACTCACTTATTGAA